GAAAAAGTAATAATAACATAAATGATGTTAAGATTGATCATTTTTCAAATTCTTATAATATTATAGTATTGTAGAAGAAAATGAAATTAGGTATCAAATATGACCCTACATGACTATTCATTTTACCATAAGATATTTATGACTAACATTTTTACAAATATAAATTATATCATAATAATAATAGTATAACTATACTTGATTATTTAATTCATAGTATTATTTTGTACATCAAATCTTTACAATAATATTTTAGGAAAAAATGTAATTACATATTATCGTACGTGACTTTTTTGTTTTGTTATTATGAGTTATTACTAAACTATTGATAAAATATAATTAATAAGTCTTTTTTAAAAAATACCCGCATTAAACAGTTGTTAAACTCATTTAGGAATATTATTGATTTACTTGTCACTGATCGTCTCTAATCAATCGAACATTGAACCTGTCTAATATACCTCGTACTTTAGCGAACAAGTAATGGAGCTAGTCCTATCATTTGTTTTATAGTAATAGGGTCCTGACATACGGGTGTGTTACTCTTTATGCAGGAGGGACAAGTTACGAAATCATAGGGGTCAATGACTCGTGTCCTCCTTGTTGACGTCACGTTACATGAATGTAACTATAGTCATTCATAACTTTATTTCGTATAGTGAAAATAAATTTATCTGTCATTAATATCTAATTAATATATAGATATATATTAACGTTACTTTGTAAAATCCGTTATTTCGTTAAATGATGCAACTCTGATGCAATATGACGCAACTCTGAAATAACTATACTGACATTTTTAAATATGAAAGAAGTTAGGGTTACATACTTCAATTAGGTAATGCATAAATTTACAAGAGTCGATTAGTTAGTTTGAAATTGAAATTTGATCTTTAGATCAGATCCGATAGAACAGCACGACTAACAAAACATTAATTTTTAAAGTACAGGAAGAGATAAGAACAGATAACTATAAGCTAGAAATTATTGTAAAAACAAAAAGCAGACTTTAAAGAAAGATCGTATTTCAATGTCATAATTACATACTCGCCTCTTGTAAATTCATATATACGAGTAACCTCGCTATTTTCCTAAAACTTTTTGTGTATAATAAATTCTTCTTATATGCTTTCCTAAAAGCTCCTAGTTGTTTCTAATAAAACTTAGGGTTTTCATGATTTAACTAAATTATACAATTTAATTCTGACATATACATATAATGTCCCAATAAACATTCTACCAAGCATAGAAAAACAAAGAGATCGATATTAGTTTATTAATAGTTTTACAATATTTTGTTTTCCATTTTAAAATAAGAACCTTCAGTTTCAGTGTTGTTAAAAAAGTATGCCACATTTGAAAATAGCTGTTAAAAGACAATTTATAATTTTTTAATTTAGTAAAACAACTGTTGGGATATTTTGCATATACATATAAATTCATAAAATAAAATGTGATAAATCATTAAATACTTTAATTTAAGGAACAAAGTTGATTAAATATTTGAACATAGCTGATTGTTACATACTTTAAAAGAAATTGATCAGCTGATTAGTATTTACATATATTAGAATCAGGATTTTAACAGCATCGTGCATCCACATAGCTAGACCTGGTATGCGACAACAGCTGGTGGCCTTCAACGTCAACGACATTTTTCTATGTTGGGAGCCTTTTTGGTAATGTTGTATTTGGATGGATCGCTGACAAATGGGGTAGAAGAACGGCCTTCTTCGCAATTCTCTTCTTAGAAGTTATTTTCTCGATCGCCACAAGTTTCAGTCCAAACTATGTTATCTACACGGCATTGAGGACAGTGAATGGCCTATTTTTTCCTGCTATTTATCAGATACCTTTTATACTTGGTAATAAAAATAATTGTCTATAGTATTTCTTATTTTAATCACGATTATTATTTGATACGCTTTATATTTCTAGCTTTAGAATTAATGGGTCCAAGATATAGGACTTTTGCTGGTATGGTCATCTGTATGTTTTTCGCTAGTGCAATGTCACTTCTTGCACTTCTGGTGAGTTTTTAATTATTTTATATTGCAAATGATTTTTCATAAATAAACGTGTAATAGCTATTAGTTATTTTTACTCTGAGTATTTTCGCATGTAAAAAAAAGATAATTTAAACTTAAACTCGTTTAACTTCGGAATATAAGTTTTTTTGAAGACGTATAATAAAATTATATTCAATTACTGAACCAAGATTTATGATCGTTCCAAAGAACATTCCGCCGATTGCAACGCTCAACGAACATACATAAATTTTTCAAAGTAAATAAATAAATCCAATATTAAACGAATAACAAAACATGTTTTGGTTTTTTTTATTAGGGTTACCTATTAAGACATTGGTACACACTATCATTAGCCACTTCAGTACCCTTCGTACTTCTCTTCAGCTATTATTGGATCATTCCTGAATCTCCAAGATGGCTATTAAGTAAAAACAGAATAGACGAAGCAGAGGTGATCGTTCAGCACATGGCCAAAGTCAATGGCAAAACAGTACCATCTAATTTTCTGAGGCAAATGGAGGTAATACCAAGATGGAAATAATGTTAATTAAAATTCTTTACAAATCTCTACTTGTCGGTTTTGATTTTCACTTAAAATAAGCAATCCAAAGATCGTCAGACATTTTTCGTAGACGTTTACGATGTTTCCAGGTTGAGATAATGAAGAGACAAGGTATCTCTTGCAATGGCAAGAACACTGGAAACGTCGTGATAGATATTGAAGGGGAAAACAGGTCGCCACCACCTTCAGCAACACCAATGGACCTCATCAGGAATCCGAATATTAGAAAGAAATTCTTCATTCTTGCTTTCGATTGGGTTGCGAACGCTGTAGTTTACAATGGATTATCCTACAACACAACGAACCTTGGTGTTTCCGATTACTTGGCCTTCTTCATCGGTATAGATATCAACGTTGCTCTTTTCTCGATAACTCGTCCTTGGTAAACGATCGTGCTCGTTATTACGACGACGGCAGTCTGCCTGTAAATATGTTTTTATCATACGTCATTGCGGCTGATGTTGCCTGCATAATGCGATCGCGTCTTCAACGACGACACACGCGTACCCGTCGCTTGATTGAAATGGACGCGAACCCATCTAAATGGTGAACGCACCGAGTAATATACAAAGGGGCTCATTGAAAATCAACACCCGAATGATAAACTATACGCTTTATCGTTAAATTCTATCATTCGTTATTGCAACAATATTCACTATATCTTGAGATATTTCTACTTATCGAGCAAGATCTAACTACTTCATTTGATTATTAAATTATTTAGTAAAAAGTCTATTAAATGTCAATAATAATATTATTAGGTAGATTCATAAAGAAGCATCATTATAAAATTTTCTTCCAATGAAACAGCAAATATGTATGAACAAACCTAATAATTATTTAATTATCGTAATCTATTAAATTATTGTAGACAGTAAATATAAGATTATGGTTAGTAGGACAGATCTTGTAATAGTCGGGATAAAGAAATGAGTAAATTCTTTTGCTATCATTAAAAAACTGTTCTAATTAATCTTGCAGGTGGTATTGTGGAAATTCCATCATACGTGATTACGTGGTATGCCATGGACAGGTTGGGAAGACGATGGGTCCTATGTTTAACAATGCTTCTAGGTGGAGTTGCCTGTGTCTCATGCATGTTTGTACCCGAAGGTACATTTTTCAATAACTAGATTTCAAATGTTACATTTTTTCGATGAACAACTTACACTCGTTGACCTTTGTCACAGTAGACGCTGTCTGGGTGACGGTATGCCTGGCAATGATCGGAAAATTTGGGATCGCAGCTTCCTTCGCTGTTTTTTACGTGTTCGTTGGTGAACTTTTACCTACGGTACTGAGGTCACAAGCAATGGGAATCGCTTCTTTCATTGCTGGTATCGGCCTACTCACTTTTCCTTACATTGTCCATCTTGCTATCTACTCCAGAGTTTTACCATTGATCATAATGGGTTCCTTGAGTGTGGCCGGTGCTCTCACATCCATCTTCCTTCCGGAAACACTCAACATACATTTGCCACAAACGATCGAGGAAGGTGAACTCTTTGGCGCTGATTTCAAACTGTGGTCCTGTCCAATGATACCAAAGTTAGTGTCTTTTTTATCTAATGTATTTATGCGAATTGATTTATTTAGTTTTATTATGAATTTCATAATCAAATTATATGATACTTTGTGAGTTTAAAATATATTCCCATAGATCTTAGAACTTTGGATAAATTATTGTATTTGACTTTAAATTTAAATATTCAAATGTGTAATAATATTTAAATCATGAAAACTACGTATATCAATTTAATTGTTAATCATGCGTATGTGTGTATTATTATAAAACAAAATCTTCTTATTGTTAGTATATTTTTATGATACTTTTATGAACGAATGTTTTTATTTGTTTAGGAAAGACGCCAAAAGAAAATCAGAAACCGTGCCGCTTAGATATCTGGTAAACGGAAAACCAGAAAAAATTGCGGCAAGGAAAATCTTAGAAGCAGAACAGGAAAGTCAAGAGGCGGAATTAACGAAACCATTGACAGATAATGTAGAAAAGGAAAAAGATGATGTAGAAAGAATGTCCGAGTCATCAAACGAAGAAACAGATCGTTTGAGAAAAATACAATGAGGAAATTTTCCTTTATTTTCCGTCATTCTTGAAAGGATAAAGCTTCCTACTATTTCGTATTATAATTTGTCTCAGTATAGGCACATCGCATTGTATATTTATTTTTCCATTTATAATGTATAATGCGCTTCACATTTGTAAAGCCTATCCTGTGTACCTGTTCAAATTCTCGTTTCTTCACTGTAAAGAGATCTATCGATCATTATTGATCATCATCGATACGAAAATCGATGTCTTTTGTTTTCAGAGTAAGAAACAAAGAGAGAACTGAGAGATCGTACGTTTAATGAAATAAAATTTATAAAAATTCAAAGAGAAAGAACTAAAGGGGCTTCGTGATATTATAATAGTAATATATATATATAGTATTAAAAAAACCGAAATTATTATTATTTATGGTAAATATTCTTGAAAATTTCTCGAAAGATAATATGGTTTGTTCGCGGAGTCGCTCGACGATTTAATTCTTTTATATATATATATATATAAAGTTAAATAATTAGCTAAACATTTTTCTACGTAAACGTAAAAGAAAAAAAAAAACGTTCTAATGACATCAACTCTTCATATGAGTTTTTTGTTTTTTGTCATTACATGTATAGAAACATCATAGATCGTTAGATGAATAGTTAGACTTCGCAATAAATAAGGAAAAATTCTTTTTAAGAACTTCGACAAATTAACATTTAATATACATAGCTCTTCGTCTTTGTCTATATTAAAAAGTGTGATAAGTTTAATGTTTAAGGACATTTTTCAACATTTATAAGTCGCTCCAAGAGTGATTATCAGCACGAAAGATAAACTTCTCCTTACATTGTTCTTTTTTACAACATCGAATGGACCAAATCGAGATTACAACGCAAGGAGAAGAAAATCGTCAAACGAACGAGCTATTTTCGATACTCTTCATTTGTAATACTTAAAGCGAGAATACATGAAAAAAGAAACCTAAATACCCGTTGTATAAAATCATTAAAAAAAACTCAACGAATCATGCCGACCATCTCATCCGTGGAATCCTTTTTTTTCAAATGATCGTCGCTAAGGAGAACAAACAGTCGTCTGTTTGTGTTTAATCTGTCATTTCCACGACACCTATTCGTTCCTTGTGTTTCCTATCGATCGAACATCTTCGGGACCATTCTCAATTAAAACATCGTCGAACTGCTCGACACCATCTTTTTCAACCCTTAAAGTGATTCGTTCAAAATTATAAAATGCGTGAGATTGTGCATATTCAAGCTGGCCAATGTGGCAATCAAATTGGTGCCAAGGTTTGTCATTTAAACCACTAAAATTATAATAATTTATATTTTTATATATTTCTAAACATTAGCTTAAAGTTATCACTGACATATACACTTTTCTTAAATCACACTAATCGGATTATCAACAATTTACAAAGTGTACTTTACTTTTATCGAATATAACCTTAATTTAACGTATTATCAATCTCTAAATAAAATTCTCTATTGACATTTGTTATATATATATATATAATAAACATCTGTACCTACCACCTGACCAAATCGATTTTTATTAATTTGTAGTTTTGGGAAGTAATATCCGATGAACATGGTATCGATAACACTGGTACTTACCATGGAGATTCGGATTTACAATTGGAACGGATCAATGTTTATTACAATGAAGCTTCTGGTCCCAAATACGTTCCTCGAGGGATTTTAGTCGATCTTGAACCTGGTACAATGGACTCTGTACGTTCCGGTCCATTCGGACAAATTTTTAGACCGGACAATTTCGTTTTTGGTCAATCAGGAGCCGGAAATAATTGGGCTAAGGGTCATTACACCGAAGGAGCAGAATTAGTAGATTCTGTTTTGGATGTAGTGAGAAAAGAGGCAGAAAGTTGCGACTGTCTCCAAGGCTTTCAGTTAACCCATTCGCTTGGAGGAGGTACTGGATCAGGAATGGGCACCTTATTGATATCAAAAATTCGTGAAGAATATCCTGATAGAATAATGACGACTTTTTCTGTGGTACCATCACCCAAAGTATCTGACACAGTCGTCGAACCCTACAATGCTACATTGTCTGTTCATCAACTCGTTGAAAATACTGACCAAGCTTACTGCATTGACAACGAAGCACTCTACGATATCTGTTTCCGTACTTTGAAATTATCCACACCAACTTACGGTGATTTAAATCATCTGGTGTCTGCTACTATGTCCGGCGTGACTACATGCTTGAGATTCCCGGGACAATTGAATGCTGATTTGAGAAAACTGGCTGTTAACATGGTACCCTTTCCGCGTCTTCACTTTTTCATGCCAGGGTTTGCACCTTTGACTTCTCGTAGTAATCAACAATACAGAGCTTTGACCGTACCTGAGTTGACTCAACAAATGTTTGACTCGAAGAATATGATGGCTGCCTGTGATCCAAGACACGGAAAGTATCTCACCGTTGCTGCTGTTTTTCGTGGTAGAATGTCAATGAAAGAAGTGGACGAACAAATGCTTAATATTCAAAATAAAAATAGTTCATATTTTGTCGAATGGATTCCGAATAATGTGAAAACAGCTGTATGCGATATACCGCCACGTGGTCTTAAAATGTCAGCAACTTTTATTGGAAACTCAACGGCCATTCAAGAACTTTTTAAGAGAATTTCTGAACAATTCACAGCAATGTTTAGAAGAAAGGCTTTTCTTCATTGGTATACAGGTGAAGGAATGGATGAAATGGAGTTTACGGAAGCTGAGTCAAACATGAATGATTTAGTATCTGAATATCAACAATATCAAGAAGCTACGGCTGAAGACGAAGGTGAATTCGACGAAGAAGAGGATATGGAGTATAAATAAAATATAAAAAATACCTAACATCGAATGATCCCGATCGAATAGGAAAGCAAGGAAGTGTTGTCCAATAAACGAAGAAATATTTTATATTCTTTTTTTTATTTCGATATGTACTTTACTTTTATTATTCTTTTACTCGATTTTATTTATTTTCGAATTTGAACAAAAAGATTTATGGAATTTTTATATACAATTTTATATACAATTTTTATAGAATTCTGTACAAGAATTGTTAATTTAATAGATCCTTTATCTCCAGTATAATTGACGTTTTATTCATTTACAAAGAAGATCTACGAGAAAGGTAAGAATTTATTCACGTAAATTAACTTGAAATTTAATTGATTCGATTGATAATATTTACATTTAAATTGCTGTACAATATAATAATCTTAGATTTATAATATAAAATTTCAACGTGCACGCGCGCTTAAGTACTTTCAATGTTGATATCTTGAGCAAGTTAACACGAATCAAAGTCGATATTTTAAATATGCCTATTAAATATAATAATTGAGTAATCATGGGCATGCATTCATGTGACCAACACTCGAACGTTTACCGCGGCTTGCTATCGAACTCTCTATCGTCCTTCTGGTCAACTGGGATTGATCAAGCCAAGGCCTTGACAAAAATAGGTAATCACGTATTATCTCGTCGGAGCCCGAGGACAAACACTTTATTATTGCGTATCACGGAGATCATAGTTCGTTGTACGTCTACGTACGAAAAAGAAAGTGCAATGGTATCATTTCGTTCTATTACTTTGTATTTTTGCTTTGCGATCAATAAATCTTTTCATATATCATTCCTGGAAATAATATTTTTTAATCGTAACATTGAATTTTATTTAATGAATTATTTAACAACAATCAAAAAATTCATCTTATTTTGATAAAATTTGAAATAATTTTATATAAACGATTATTTCGTAAATTTAATATTGTTACTGTACAAATTATAAACAAGTAACACAATGTTATCTGAATCATGCAACAAAAGAGATGGAACCGTTTTGAAACATTCGTATAATTTCGGTCACAAAATTAAAAAAAAAAAATTATTATTCGTTATTAAAATTTTAAGTGACATTTTTAACAAGTCATATTAATCTTCAATAATTTTCATTAAAAATCACGATGAGAGAAATTGTACACATCCAAGCAGGACAATGTGGAAATAATGTTGGAACAAAAGTAAGGTTACGTTTATTTCTATCACTTGCATTTTTATATTAATAGAATTTTTATTATTTTTGTATATTTTTATCAATGCTCAAATCATCTTCTTAGTTTTGGGAAGTTATTTCTGACGAGCATGGATTAACACCTGATGGAATTTTTAATGGCGAATCGGATCTGCAATTGCAGCGCATAAATGTGTACTTTAATGAAGGACCTCGTACTGTTAATTCATCAAATAAAAATTCAACATTATCAATATCATTAACACTAGATTTACGAACATTGATTTCATATCTGTTTTTATTAAAATCCCCAAACATATATTGACAAAAAATAAAATTAATAAATTATGTAACCTTCAGTATGAAATTTCAAGTCCATTAATTAATGGGTTCTGTAGATCTAGTGTTAAGTATGTAAAATTTAGCAAAAGATATAAATTAGATCTTATATTTTATTTCAATTTTTGTATTCTATATTTCTAGATAACAAATTTGTACCTAGAGCAATTTTAGTCGATCTCGATCCAGGTTGTTTAAGTTCCACGTTATCCGGTCGATATGGTAGATTGTTTAGTCCGGATAGTTTTGTAGCTGGTCAAGCTGGGGCTGGTAATAATTGGGCTAAAGGTTATTACACCGAAGGTGCTGAATTAGCCGATATAGCTTTGGATCTCGTTCGAAAAGAGGCTGAATCTTGCGATTTGATACAAGGTCTCGTACATTCAACAAATATAAATATATTTCTTTATATAATACTACAGAAAGAATTTAACAAAAAAAAAAAATTAAAAAAAACTTTAAAATTATCAGGAATTCAATTAATACATTCTCTTGGTGGTGGCACCGGTGGAGGCATGGGTTCCCTTTTATTACAAAAATTAAAAGAAGAATACGCAGATAGAATAATAAAATCTTATGCCGTATTACCAGCACCAAAAATTTCGGACGTTGTTGTTGAACCCTACAATGCCATTTTATCTATTTACTATCTCATAGATAGCAGTGATGAGACTTTTTGTATGGATAACGAAGCCCTACATTATATTTGTACCGAAACCTTGCAACTCGCCGCTCCTACATACAGTGATTTAAATCATTTGATATCCAGTTGCATGGCTGGCATCACTACATGTTTTAGATTTCCTGGACAACTGAATACAGATCTAAGAAAACTTTTAGTAAACATGGTACCTTTTCCTAGATTACATTTTTTCATACCTGGTTACGTGCCTCTAACGTCAAGAAGAGTGGCTCCTTATAGAGTACTTTCGGTACCTGAATTGACTCAACAAATGTTCGATGAAAGAACAATGTTTGCTCGTTGTGATCCAAGAAAGGGTAGATTTTTAACAATTGCTGCAATTTTTAGGGGTAGAATGTCAACTAGAGTTAGTATTAATTAATTTTCTTCGTTTTTAATTTCATCAAATGTAACCAATAATTCGATTTTGTTATCATTTCAGCATGTAGATCAGCAAATGTTAAACATTCAAAATAAAAACAGTTCTTATTTTATCGAATGGATACCGAATAATATAAAAACAGCTATCTGTGATATTCCACCACGTGGAATTAGCATGAGTGCGACTACGGTAATGAACACCACAGCAATTCAAGAATATTTTAAAAACTTATTAAATACCTTTAATGGAATGTTTCAAAAGAAGGCTTACCTTCATTGGTACACCGATGAGGGGATGGATTTATCTGAGTTTTCAGATGCTCAGAACAATGTTTATGATATCGTTTCAGAGTATCAACGGTATCAAGAGGCACCTGCTGAAACTGATTTCAAAGAAGAAGAAATAATTTATCATAATTAATATAAGTTCAATTACAGTTATGACTGAAAATTGATTAGAAATGAAATAAAATTATAATATAATGATAACATACTAATTTATAAAAATGATTATATCATTTGTATAAACTCTTTTAATTATCTTTGAAACATTATCTCGGTATTGTTTATATTTTCAGTAAAAATATAAAAATAAACTCAAATGATTTTATTCTTTTGGGTGTGTGTGTGTGTGTGTGTGTGTGTTATAAGTATTATATTTTAATCGCCTTTTTCTTTTACAATAATAATGAAATTACTAACGCAGTTCGAACGAATACGAATTTTTTTCTTTCAGTAATTTTATGTATATTTATATTGCAAAGTGATCAAAAGATTATACAATATACACCTACGTTTCACCCTATAAATCTATATTCTTTAATGAAAAAAAAAAGAATCTAGTTTCACTAATAAAAAGTAACAAATTATTCGAAGTATACAAACTACTAGATAGGAAAAGATAAAGATAAGCATTGTCGATGTACGAGAGACGCAGTACTTAAAAAATTGCATATTTCTTTTTTTTTAATATAAAAAAAACCGTACTACATTCTAAGCATTCATCAGAGTTAAACGATGCTCGCGAACATTTATTTAAAAATACAAGAAGAAAATAGAAATAGATAGAGAAAGAGAGAGAATAAAAAAGTATAGAGCATACTTTTTGTTTCTTCTGTTTTTGATAAAATCGTTCTAGCATTTGATCGGTAAACGAAGAACGATGGCATCGGCATTTATATAAACTTCGTATTTTATTAAAAATCCGTTGCACATTCGAAGTTTCTTTGAAAATAAATACATTAATGAATTTTTAAAAGGACACAAATTAGTGTGTTGTTCGTTCGATCGATAAATTCGAATACACAAAATATATATTATATATAATATATATATATAAAATCTTAAGTATATATAGCATTGATTCTAAACATTATTATATTCGACCACTCCGAGATTATCGTGAATAAAAAACGTACGTTTTTGAATGGATTATTTCGATCGTTCCTATTTGAAACGTACGTAATCGTATAAAAGTATGAAAAAAAGTTTCGCTAATGACATTAAAAAGTATCAAAAAGTAATCAATTCGTTAGATATTTTTACATTTTCATTCGAAAGAATAGGAGTGTGAAAAAGAAAAGAGGAAAAATAGAAGGGGAGGGAATTGAAGATAAAAAGATGATCGGAGAAAGATCGGAACACTCGAATTTTATTCTTCTTCGCATGGCTCAAAATCGTCAGCGCATTCTTCTTCGGCTTCAAAATCTTCTTCCGCCGTAGCTTCTTGATATTGTTGATATTCGGAAACTAAATCGTTCATGTTTGATTCGGCTTCAGTAAATTCCATCTCGTCCATACCTTCTCCCGTATACCAATGCAAGAATGCTTTTCTCCTGAACATGGCAGTAAACTGTTCAGAAATTCTCTTGAATAATTCTTGAATAGCCGTGGTATTTCCAATGAAGGTCGATGACATCTTCAAACCTTTAGGTGGTATGTCACAAACAGCCGTCTTCACATTATTCGGAATCCATTCAACGAAATACGAGCTGTTCTTGTTCTGTACGCTAAGCATCTGTTCATCGACCTCTTTCATGGACATTCTACCACGGAAGACAGCAGCAACCGTCAGATATCTTCCATGTCTGGGATCACAAGCTGCCATCATGTTTTTAGCATCAAACATTTGCTGTGTAAGTTCGGGTACAGATAGAGCAGAATATTGTTGCATTGATCTAGACGTTAGAGGTGCGAAACCAGGCATGAAGAAATGAAGTCGAGGAAAGGGTACCATGTTGACGGCCAGTTTTCTCAGATCAGCATTCAGTTGACCAGGAAACCTTAAGCAGGTTGTTACACCAGACATGGTAAGTGATACCAGATGATTTAGATCGCCGTAACTAGGATTAGAGACTTTCAATGTACGGAAACAGATGTCATAGAGAGCTTCGTTATCGATGCAGTAAGTCTCATCAGTATTTTCAACCAATTGATGAACAGATAGAGTTGCATTGTATGGTTCTACCACAGTATCGGAG